AGTAAACCAGAGGGGAGCACAGGTCAGACTCTAAGAAGTGAGGTCAGCCAGGTATGGCTGAGTTCTAGGAGCCACCAGAGGAGAGGGGACAGGCAGGCAAGAGGGCCACCATTTGTTGAGCGCCTAATGGGGATATTCTGGGAATCATGCTAAATCTTTTACATATATTAGCTTATCTAGGCCTCACAACAATGCTGTGGGGTAGGTATGTCATGATCCCCATTCTACAGATTAAAAACCGGAGGATTTAGGGGTCAAGTAAATTGCCTAGAACAACTCATATGGTAGGAGACAATCCAGAAGTGCCTCGTTAGCACCCATGTCCTCAAGGCTGCTGCAGCCACTTCCCACGCTGTGAGTTTTCCCTTCTCTGGCCTGAAAGGCAGTGGTCAAGCTAAGTCTGTCTGTGACAAAGCATAAAGAGAAAGGCATTTTTTATTAATATATATGGGAAGGTGCCATTTTTTTGTGTGTGTTTCTCTATGTAAGAAATGCCATTTGGAAAGCCAGTGTGCATGTCAATGTTTTTTTTTTTTTTTCTTTTTTTCATTCTGAGAAAAAGCCTATAGAGTCTGGTGGGGGAAGGGTTTGCAGCTGGCAGGAGCTTTGGCATATGTTGTAACTAAAAAGAGAGGGAATGTGTTGGTGGGACAAGCTACCGGAGAGCTGTCTCGGTGTGCTGCGGTACTAGTAAGTGTTTTAATTGGGTAGGGTTTTTGGAGGACTATTTTGACATCTGCTCGTGTCTTTGCTGATTTTTCTTCACTTAGAGTAGGAAACACAAGCTGTGGATGAAATGACTTTAAAATAATTGGAAGTAAAGATATCTATCTCAAAGTCGAATTTGAGAGGGATACTTTTGAAGAAGTGGAAAACTAAATTCCACTTCTAGGAATCCATCCTAAAGCTTTATGCCTATAGATTTCATGACAGTATTATATATAATAATTTCTTAAAAACTGGAAATAACATCCAACAAAAGGGGCTTGGTTGAGTTTGTTTCCATGTAATAAAACACTGTAGCAATTAGTAATGATCTTTATAAAGCTTTTAATGAAATGGAGCATTGCCTGTATTGTAATCAGTGAGAAAATCAGAAAGAATCATTAAGAATTATTTGAACTGTGGATTAACATGTAGAAAGGGGAGACTATGGAAGAAAATACACCCAAACATTGCCTCCAAATGGAGAGGATTGGGTTTTCTTCTTTGAACTTTTCTGTCTTTCTCATTTTTTTATAGTAGGCATATAGAATTTTTATGATACAAAAAGAAAGTATTGCTTAAGAGAAAGCAGGCCCTGAGAGTGCTAGTATAACTGCGTGCCCTGAACAGATATTTATTCTGAAGTCTGAGCAATTGAATTTGGGTTATCTTCAGAAAAAGGTAAGCTTTGGAGTCAGACTGTGTTCAAAAGGCAGACTTGCCACTCACTGGCTCTGTGACTTTGGGCAGTTCGTGTGACCTCTCTGAGCCTCCGCCTACTCATTCTCACATGGAGATGCTGGTGTCTCCCTTGCAGCATGGCTAAGATTAAAGGAGCTGGCACCCAGCAACAGTCCCGCTTTCTCGCCATCAGCACTTCCCCTCCCCCACCCCCAGTTTGAGTCTTTCTTGCTGTTCTTCATTCCCTTTGTTTCCCTGATCCTTTCAGGGACAGGGCACCATCCGGCTGAGCTGGCCTCCGATTCTTTCCTTGGGAACACTGAGCTTCAGGAAGGCCCTTGAGTCCATGCCAGCCCCTTTGGAAGAGGCCTTGCCACCGGGAGGGCAGCATTGTCCTTTAAGAGGAAACTGTGCCGACCCAGCTCCTGTCTGGAGCCGGTGCTTGGGGCATTTTGGTTACTAAGGGGACCCTGGCCTACTAAGTCAGAAAAAGGGCCAGGTTTTTTCCTATTCTTCAGTCTGCTGCCATTGTTGAAAAAGTAAACACTCCACACAGCTTAACCGTCAAGTCCTCCAGCCAGGAGTGGGAAGAAATCAAAAGCCTATTCCAGCCGGGCTGTGGAGAGCCCACAAGGGCCGGTCTGTGCTGCCGGGGCCCACTGGGAACACAGAAACAAGGCCCGATTCTGATCCAGAATCAACATCCCTCTCACTCGGCCTTTCAGCCTCCGAGGCTTCTCTCCAGTGGCCGCTGCGCGTGCCCCTTCTGTTTGGGCCTGTTTGGAAGGTCAGATGAGGCGAAATGGGTGATTCTGGGGGCAGCAGCCCTGGGCTCAGCCCTCAAGGCCTAGATAGAGTCCTCAGCTGAGTTGGGGAGCCCCTGCTCACCCCTTCACGGATTCTGTTCCCTGTGACTGTGCCTCACGCAGCCTCTCAAGTGAGAACCCAAACAGTTACCAAGGAGGCACTGGAAGGGTTTTTGCCCTTAAGCCATTGTCACTAGAGCTTTGCGGACTGGCTGTAGCTGCTCTGTGTACTATAAAAGTAGTAATAGTCACCATTTATCGTGTCCTGTGTGCCTGGCACTGTGCTCATGTTACCTCTATTCTTTACGACAGCCTGGGGACGTGAGGGAAGGAAAGTGGTCACAGTTAGCATTTCAACTTTACAGAGGAAGAAGCCAATTAGTAGATCTACAACCTTGTGCAACCTACTTCACTTCTCCGAGCCTCAGTTTCTCATCTCTGGAATGGGGATAGTGATACCTCACCTCTAGCTACACTGATGGAAATGGAAGAATCTGGGTGGTAGTGTTTTGTGAGTTCTGAAGCGTGACATCAGTGGAAAAGATGGTTGGTGATGCTATTTTTGTAACTTCCTGCTAGCAAACTGCTAGCCATTTAACCTGCTGGGTTGCAGGATGAGGCAGTTAAGGAGCCCTGGACAATTCACTGTGAGTCTTAACGTTCTCATCTGCAAAATGGGGATTGTGCTTTGCAAAACAAAAGTGCTGTAAAACACTCATTATTTGTATTATTATCCAACTTCACCATTTGCTGGTATCTTCTTATAAATAAGGCAACATTTAATGTGAGTGTTGGGATTTGGAGGGGAGAATAAACTCATAAGTCTGCGATCTTATCCCTCTCTGTGACTCTCAGCCCAGAGAAAGTACCTAGCAAATGTTTAGAATTGACGGATAGGTTTGTGGACCAGCCCCCAGTGGCCTGGAGAAGCCAGTCCACAGCAGGAGTTTGAGGCTCTGGTCATGTTAGGTGGGAGAGTTCCAGGACTCTGCTGTCTGGGAGTGTGTTTTCAACCCTAGGAGGCTTCTCACCAGCATGGCTCCACCTTCCTACTGGAAGAATCTCGGAATGTTTACTTAGGTCCCAAGTTTTATCCTAGAGGCTGGGGTTTGAGAGAATGAATGTTAACCGGTGTTAGTGAGCACTTACTGGGAGCCAGTCACTTTGTCAAGTGCTGGTTATTTCGCAGTGGTGAGGGAGCCCGCACCCAGCAGGGGCAGGCAAGCAAAAGGGTGCTGGGACTCGGAGTGACAGGGCTGTGCGGAGGCAGTCTCACTGTGGGCATCTGATGACAAGGAGGCGGTGGTCTGTGCAGAGCATGGCCTGTGGAGGTAGCTGTTCCTCTGTTACCTCTGCCTCTTCCCTGGCCTCTCTGAATCCCGTTTTCCTCAACTTACATACCATGAGGGTAATAGTGTCCACTTTGCAGGGTTTAAGCAGAATTAAATGAGGCAAAGTAAGCACAGAGCAAGAATTAATAGACGGCTAGTACATTGTAATTATAATTGCCCATTTCCAGGGCATCAGCAAACTTGGGTCTGAGCCACCATCAGATATCTAGCTCTCTTGCTAAGTCTATATGGTGCTCTGCAGTGAATTAGGAAAAGGCATCTGCCCCCCTTCCCCGACTGATGGCATTCAGTAGGCACACGGGTTGGCAGATTCCAGTCCCAGCTTGGCCGGTTGAGCAGCCTTGGGGGGTACATACCTGCACAGTCACATGCAGTGTGCTCAGAGGATGTGACTAATAGTGAAATCGATCCCTTACATGTGGAAGGACCATATGTCCCATTTTGCGCCCATTGCCTCGTGTGATATGCAATCTTCACATCCACAAGTGCCCCAGTTTGGCCAAAAAATTAGAGGGTCTTCCTACTTAAAGAGGGCAAAATAAAATAAAGACAACAGTTCTAAAGCTTAAGACTCAAAAGGAATGAGCTTGATTATGATGGGGCAAGAGGACTGAATAGGATTGGAGGTGGTGGATAGGCAGGAGAAGAATGAAGATGGGCTCTGCGGTGGATAAATAATGTGATTAAAAATTAAAAACTCAGGCTACACACTGTCTTGTACCAACGCAGACTATGGATAGTTGGGGCCAGATTTGGAGAGGGATGCTCTTTTATTCTCTTCTCCTCTCTTCATTCACCGAACGTGAAGACCTGGCAGGCATGAGTCTCCTCACCCTTTCCATTACTGTCACGGTGGAAAAATGGCTTGTGGCCAGATCCTCTGAGCTATTACTAGCTGGATTTCTATAGAAAATGGGACCAAATCGAAAGTGTGACCTTCCTACTCAGCATTTAAGGGAAGTGTTAACAGTAGGCTGTACACCACATTCATACTCAAGAATGACAAAATCCAAAAGGGAGATGGACACGTAGCCTTTGGTAAATGAGAGAGATGGATTGAATGTGGGTGTCGTGGAGCCCAGTTGTTTATCAGAGATCCTGGAGACAGAGCTTTAGGCTTCAGCTTCTGTATAAAAAATATATAGGGAAAAACCTGATGATAGGTTGCAAAGATCTCTCCTACTTTCTAGCTGTGTGACCTGGGGCATGTTACTGAGCCTCTGTGACATGCTTTTCACTCCTGGGACTTGGAATCATGCAAGCTCACAGAGATTTTATGAGAGTTCAATGAGCTAACAAATGTGAACCACGTAGCATTGGGCTGCCATGGAGTAAGCCTTTGTCAAATGTCACTTTTCTTCCCTATTCCCCTTCCCAGAGAAGGCCAGGGGAAATTTGTGTCCTGATGGCACTCCAATGACTTTCTCTTCTGGATTTTTTTTTTTTTCACTTGCAGAAAGTCAGAAACATGGCCCTGGATGATGTTGTGATCCTGAATGTGGACACCAACACCCTGGAAACCCCCTTCGATGACCTCCAGAGCCTCCCAAATGATGTGGTGGGTAGTGAGTTCACACAGCGGAAATGAACGTGACGTTGGGGGATGTGGAAGGAGAGACGGCCGTGGTTTCCCTATGGCCTAAGAACTGCGGTTTGTTTCCCTGTTCTCTCTGGAACCTTTGCTCAGCGTAGAAAGCTAGAAGGTGGTTTATTTTGAGTCTTGTTTTGCTCTTCTGACTTTCATCTGAAAGTCTGAAGCGATCTCAGTGTCTAGACATCACCTGGGGGTCTTGCCACCTCTCTCCAGAGACCAGAACAGATCCTCAGAGTGACACTACAGAAGGCAGGTGGGAGGGCTTTCCGTGTGAGTGACTTGGGATACTGTAAACTTACTTGTTTTGCCCTAGACCTCCATCACACAGCTGTTTCCCTGCGTAGCGGAGCGTCTGATGCCAGTGCTCTGAGTGTGGCTGCATGTCCTCCAAATAGCTCTCTGTCACCTCAGGTCTGGAAATAATGCGGGTTCCATTGAGCAAAAAGTAACTGGCTGCTGCCTTTGCCACGCTGACATCTGACTACACACCCGTCTCGGTGCTACTCAGAGCTAGTTGCCTCGTGGGCAGCTGTTTGAAGTACACCCGTTCTGCCCCATTGCCTGTACAAATGAGGACTGGGCTTCGCAGGAAAGTATGGTTTGAACATTTCTGGTTTGACCTCAATGGCTCTGGCTGCTAGAAGAGCTAGAAAGTTATTCTGACTTTCAGATTGAAAAGAGTCGATCTTCTTGGCCATATGGTTCTGATGCAGGGCTTGGGTTCGTGTCTTGGTAGGTGAAGTGCTTTGCCTGGTGGGCACTGTGCCTCATCACTGCCAGGAGCCCCAGTGACACCATGTGGTTTTGCTGTTTGTTGATAAGTGGCTTGCAACAGGATTTCAAACTTCTCTGCTCTTAACTCACTGTGAGATTTTTCAGGGAGTCATTTGTCCTCTCTAATGACGTTTCATTTGTAACATGATTAAGCAGTGGCTACCATTCATTGACTTGCTGCACTGGGCACTGTGTCACTGACCTCTCACTTGCACTTCACACCACTCTCAGGAAGGCGTTGTCCTCACTCCCACTTTGCCCACAGAGCCACAGAGAGGTGGAGCAACGTGAGAACCAGCCCTGTGGGTGCACAGGGCCCCATTTCTCGGTGCCTTCTGCACTCAGGATCTCATTCAGTTAGCATCATAGCCCTAGGGGGCAGGTGTTCTCTCATTTTTAAAAAAAGAGAAAAGAATCTCAGAGAGCAAAGAACCTCAGAAAGCACATGCCTTCTTTGGCTGTTTAGGGGCAGAGCTGAGATTGGAACCCCAACCTGAATGACACCAGAGGCTATGCTGCCTCCACTCGAGAGGTGACAGAAGTTAGGAAAATTAAAGTGCCACACAGGCATGAGAATTGCAGGCAATCATGTCAGGACAGGGTACGTGGTTAGTGTCTTGGGGCCTGCTGGCCATAATTTGGTAGTTCTTTAGGTCCAAGGCATCTGAGGCTTCCGTTCCTGTTTCCCTTCAGTGGACACTTACCTCTTTAAGCCATGGGTATCTTAGGCATGGACCTGGCAATTGCTGAGTGAATGTTGGAAGTGAATCTGAGGTAAGTCAAGTGCAAGAAATGGCCAAGGGCCCTGGGGCAGCATGAGATGACTAACTGGCAGCTCAGAAACCATGGAGTGGACTGACTGGTCCCACCTGCACTGCTCTGACCCTATGCTGTCACTGAGCAGCAGAGAGGAAGAATATCTTCAAAGAGTATATGCCAGTAGAGGAACCAGATGTGTCAATTACGTATATATTACAGTATAGCATAATAGGGACCACAGGGAAATAGGAAGCAGGCCCAGAAGGGCCCAGGAGAGAGAGTAACAAAATTGGAGGAGTATAATGGAGGCTTCCTAAAGATGGAAGATTCCCAGTTGCCTTTTAAATGATAAATGATGGCCTTGGGGAACCAAAGTAAGTTGGACAAGTTGTATTCCCCCTCTGAGCCTCAGTTTCCCACCTCAAAAATGGAGTCCCAGGTCTGCTCTTAGGATTATTGTGGCAAATAGTAACGGGATGCTCACGAAATGCTTGCCACAGTGCTTGCATGTTATCAGAGTTCCATAAATGGTCACCGCATTTGTTTTTAATAAAACTGTGGTTGATAATTACAGGCAAGGTTGGGGGGACAATTAATTCCCTCCACATCCTGACAGTCTTAGCCTGTACATTGGGACCTCCTGTCAGCAAGCTAGTTTGTAGCAGGGTTGTGAATATTCTACAGCAGTGGTTTCCAGCATGGGGCTCTAGATTCATTAAGGATTCTGAAGATAGTAATGGGGAGGGAAGGTGGTCCATAAGGTACTTACTGTATATCAGTGGAATTCATAGATTTGAATAAGCCCTCAGGTTCTCGAGAGGAGAAATCATTTTCTTTCCATTTTTATGTCCCTGTATTTGACATAGGACCTGATACTTTTAGTGTATCAGCATGTCCATCCTTGACCCACAATCTCCCCTTTTGCCAAAGATGCTTGTTTACTATATCCGACAGATTCTGCTTCTTAGACATTTTGCAAATCCACCTTCTCTTTTTCATCCCTCCAAACCACCACCTAATCTATGCTCTTATTTCTCCCCTGCATTTTTACCAACAGCCTCAAAACTGGTGCATCTGACTCCAGCCTCGTCACTCTGTTTCATCTTCATGCGCCAGAGTGACCTTTCCAAAAATATAAATTGAACTGTATTTCCCTCCTACTTAAAACTGTTCCAACAATCAACATAATTTTAAAAAAATCTTTTAGAGACAAAATATCCTTCTTTAACTTCCCATTGCCTGTAGACTCAAGGTAAGTTCCCTTTGTTGGCTTTGGAATCAGGCCTGTGTTTAAACCCTGGCGTCCTCACTTACTGGCCATGTGGTCTTGGGCAAAATTACTTAGGCTCTCCAAACCTTAGTTTCCTCTTAAGGCTGTTGTGAGAATTAAATGTAACAGGCATAATATATTCAAAACATATCCTATAAATGCAATGTGTGGTAGTCAATGATGAATTTTGGATGTAAGTGATGACTAACATGGCATTCAAGGCCCCTTTCATGATATGATCTTCCCATTTTGGAGGAGGGAGATTTTCTATAGCTTTCACTCTCTCCCCTCCCTGCTTCAAACTCTATATTCTAGGTGTTTGGAACTATTGGTAGTTGTCCCAAACTTACATGGTGTTTCATAACTTCATACTTTGCGTATAGGGTTTCTTTTGTCTTAAATGCCCCACTTCATCTGTTAATCTCTTACTCATTCTTCAAGACTTACAAAAACAAACAAAATAAAACTTCCCTGATCTCTTCAAGTAGATTTGACCATATCTTTCTCTTTCTCTGTGTCCTTACAGCCCCTTGTGTTGCTTGTATAATTGTACTGATTAATTACCCATTTCTGGCTTTCGCCTTTTAATTGTAAGTTCTTTAGCGACAGGAATCAAGTTTTATTCATCTTTGTTTTCCAAGGATCTAACAGCCACTGAATAGATAAATAGAAGGATGGAGGGCACATACGGTTTAGGTTATTTTGGTAGATGAAAATTTGCAATGCATGGCATCCATGCTGGAAACTTCATTAAAAGAGGCTTTGGTTCTCCTGCTAACCACAATAGAATAATTGGAACTGTATTAATCTTCCTACCATTAACAATTAAAACTCTGGACAAATATGAAGAAAAACTGTTTTCACATATTGAGCAATAGGCAATTCAGAACTGTGATCCCTGAGCAAAAGGAAGCAAGTGAGGTGAGGCCTCTCTTCCCACTGCTTTCTGCCTTGAGGCCTTTTCTGGACACTGGTTGGTGCTAGGAGGAGAATTTCAAGCAAAGCACAACAGTCTTGCTGAGTTGAAAGGTTAAAAGAACCGTTTGAAGGAGAAATGGTTTAAGTTTGTGGGTAAGCATACCAGACAGGAGGAAGCTATTCAGCAAAAGATCTCCAGAAATCTGAATCAACTAACCTGCTAAAGACTGATCTGCCCACGTGGAGGGTGAAACTCCTGACGGGGCTATAAGATAAATAGTTCTCAGAGCTCACACAGGTCTAGGAATCATTCAAGTTCTGACCAGCCAGAGTAAAGAGATCGTGTTCAACTCTTAGGATAATCACTAGAGACACTAGGAGGCTGTGACTTGATAGTAGGTCTAAATTAGTTCTAGAATAGAGGTTATTTTATCCTTGCCCTACAGAGCTTAAAATCAGGCTCGAGAGGCCTAAGAGAGGGCTTTAGGAATGCTCGTAATGTACTGGGGTTTTTTTTGGTTTTTTAGCTCAGTGACAGCTACATAGGGAAGAATTCATCAAGCTGTATACCCAATGGTGTGTGCCTTTTTATGTGTGTATGTTAAACCTCAATAAAAAGTTTTAAACAAACCTATTTCTTTTTTTAAAAGCCTTAAAAAGGTTAACCTGATGGGCAAGAAATCTACTCACCTGTAAAAATAAAGTTCACCTCTCTTTAAAAGAAGACAACAAAATCTAACACTCAAAAATATAACATTCACGGTATTTAGCATCCTATTTAAAAAGTACAAGACATGTTGAGAATCAGAAAAATGTCACCCCACTGAAAATTAGCCAATAGAAACAAACTCAGAAATGAGTATTATAGAATTAGTAGACAAAGACCTTAAAGCAGATAATATAAAGATTATAAATATGCTCATGAATTTAAAGCAAGACATGATCTACTGATCTAAATGAGGAGAGAAATGGAAGATATATAAAAAATGAAAGGGAATATCCAGAAGTGACAAATATAATACCTGGAATTAAAAAAAAATCACTCATGGGGTTAGAGGTGATATGATACTGCAAAATAAAAGATTAATTAACTTGAAGACATAGCAATAAAAGCTATCTAGTAGAAACCAGAGAAAGAAAAAGACTGGAAAAAGTTAACAAAACTCAGTGTGACTCCATAGCACAATATCAAGAGGACTAACATACATATAATTGGAGTCCCAGAAGGCAAGAAAGGGGGAAG